CATTCTTAATCATCTAAGCACACACCTTGCTGACAGATCAGTAACTGAATGAATTTCATGCTGGATGCAAAACCAGCACGATGGGAGAAGAAATTCTAGTAAACAACATCAGGTTTTCTCTTGTGTCTTTATTTATTTAAATTAAAACACTGATGCTATTGGGCCTGCCCTGCCCCCTCTCAATTATATGCAGACTCTGCTGCCTTAATAATTCTCTCCACTGATGGAGATCTGAAAGCCTGTATGATACAAACAATCTATTTCAAAGGAGTTTGTTGTCGCTATGGGAGCGCAGCAGAGCTGTGGACTGCTGCCCACTCTGGTGTTTTGGCAATGCTGGCCTCAGAGAGATATGTTAGTGTACATACATCTGCTGTAAGTTCGGTGATTGTGTTTTTGCATCTGTCTACCAAGACTAGATTCTACTTCCCTGAAGTCATCATTCATATACTCAGATGACTAGAGTTACTGCACATTTAGCAGAGGACTTCCTTAATTGCCTTGTGGCATCAACCTTAATCCAGCTGTAAGATGTCATGTTTAGGCCTGTCTCAGGCAGTTCTGTGTGTCTGATTTCATTAGTTATGGTGATAGGAGGAATCAAACTGAGAACAGGGTAGATGAGGTGAAATATGAAACCCTTAATTTAATTATGATAAGCTTGCCTTTGGAGAGAGATTTTTCTATTGAAGTTTATTGGGACAATTCAGCTTACTAGGGATTAAATGTACTTGATTGACAATGACAAAACTCAGTTTACCTGTTTGTTGTTTTGGTTTTTTTTAAATTATTTGTTTTAGTTACACTTTCACTGTATGAGCAGTAGTTGATAATATTTTTATATTTCCAAGACAGTGGATCTTTTGATCATGATTGCAGCTATCTTGGGTTAGCAAGCAAAGCAAACACTGCCAGCTTTGCAGCCTGTTTGTGGAGTCCAGCTTGGTTCTCTCTAGCTGCCATATATGGTTCCTTGAACTATTCTGTGTGGGATGCTTCTGTGAGTTTCTGGATACAAATTCATAGTAGATGCTGAAATATCTCTGATACCAAAACCTGGCAAAGCAGTTTCTGTTCTGGAGCAGGTTGTGAGAGTCCAGTAAAGTGGGGAAAGTTGGCTCAGAGGGATGATTGCTGCTTGTGGATGGACTGGGCATTGCTCAGCAGGTGGTGAGCATCAGTGGTTACGCATCACTTGACTCACTTGTGCATTATTTCATCTCTTTCTGTTGTCTTCTTTTTCATTATCACCTTTATTATTTTTATATTTTACTCTATTTCAGTTATTAAACTGTTCCAGTCTCAACCCACAGGTTTTACCTTTTCACCAATTCTCTTCCTCTGTTCCACAGAGTTTGGGGGGTGGAGTGAGCAAATACCTGTGTGGTACTTAGTTACCAGCTGGAGTTAAGCCACAATAGCCCTTTTTTTGTCACCCATCCTGGGGCTTGACAGGTCTAGAAAACAACAACTCTGACTAGAACATGCTAGAACAAAATTGTTACAAGCATTTGTTTTATATATTTGTTATTTGTTAATAGTCATTGGACACAATGTTGTTTTCATGCTCTCAGTTGTTCTCCATGTTCTCAGAGCTCCATCATTTAACTCCTTACTTCCAGTGTGTCCTCCCTCTTGTGCTGTTTATCACCTGTGGGAACTGGACTGAGGTTTTTGTGTTGTGTTTTAACATAAGCAGTCTGGTCTAGTGGAAGATTTTCCTGCCCACAGCAGGGGGCTTGGAACTTTAAGGTCTCTTCTAACCCAAGGCATTCTGTGCATCAACCCATGAACCTGTGAGCACTGGCGTGTAACAACAGAATTGCTGGTTGTGAAACTAATCTGTTACTTGTACTCAGCTCTGCTTTTGTCTTTGTACTTTGTAAGTGATCTACTGGAAACTATCAATGATTACACCTTTTACCTTTCATCCTCTGAGTTAACCTATGGAGGAGACATGATCCCACATCTTTGCCTTCTCTGCCTGGCTAATGACAGTAGCTCTTGAAATTTTTTTTATATCCTTGGGATGTTGAAGCAAGCATGGCCCTATTGCCAGGAATCATGATTGTATGTCAGGTCTTAGGGTTAGACAACTATTTGCAGCTACTCAAACCTTGTGACAGGCACTGTGGCTACTCAGACCTTGGTGGCAGGTGCTGGAGGTGCTCAGACCCTTGCAATGGATGATGCACCTAAACCAGAGCACCAACCCCTGCCAGTGTCAGTCACCCCTTTCCACCAGAAGAAATGGACACAAGAGATTGTTTAGTAAAGGAGAACAAAGCAGGGCCATCACAAGAATAGGAGGAAGAGGCAGAACAAGAGGGAACCACTCAATCCCTATCCCTGAGAGAGCTGTGGGATATGCAAAAAGATTTCAGCCATCACCCAGGTGATCACCTGACTGCTTGGATGCTGGGTGACAGGGCTATGAGCCTGGAATGAGGGGGCAGGGAAACCAAGCAGCTGGGATCACCTTCTAAGGAAGGAGGCAGTGACAAGGCGATTGGCAAAGGGCCACAAGTCCTCAGCCTTTGGGAGCTGACTCCTGTGGAGTGTGAAGGAAAGACATCCCTTTGAGGAAGATTTTCCATGTCACCCAGAGCCACCACAGAGGTATCTAGTGCCTTTGTTATGATCCAGACAGTGCACAGTCACCCACAGACCCAGAAGAATTGTAGTGCATGTAATCCTTGTGGCAGAAACTTGTCCAGAGTATGCCATTTCCATGTGCTGAGTTTGCAGGACTGTATGGATCCTGTGGCCTGGCATGTCAGGCCCACAGGAGTGGAAGGCTCTGGTGCTCAGGGTACCCCAATGCCATCCAGCTCTGCAGGAGCAGAACCTATTTCTGTTTCTGGAGAAAGAAAAGGGGAACCCAGCAGCTGATTGAACTGGAGGCTGAAGTGAGCCTGACTGGTAAAGTGTGGCAAAAACACCCCCTATGTCTGGCCCAGAGTCTCTGTGCATCCCTGGCATAGAGTATCTTAGCAGAAGGTATTTCAAGGACCCAAAAGGTGTGAGTTCAGTACCACTGCCTTGGAGGCGGAGGAAGCCTGCCTTGCCTGTTCTCTCAGAGGACTCTTCTTTTGGGCTTGCTGAAGGTCAGAGAACAGGTGCTGGTCGCTACCACGGTGTTGCACTGAGACTCCATGGTTCCCATTCACAAGCTGATTTATCAACTGAGAGTCAAGCAGTGATCAGCAGGATCATATGGCCAGTGTGGAAGTATAATATGGAGAGTGGAGTCTGACAGTGAACTATGGCAGCCTGAACGAAGTCACACTATGGCTGTGTGCAGCTGTACTGGACTCATTGATACGAGCTGCAGTCCAGAGTTACCAAGTGGTTGGCCACAATTGACATTGCTAATGTGTTTCAATACCTTTGACAGCCCACAATTCTATTTCACTTAAAGGAATATCCAGTAGATCTGGAATCCAGTGCCCCAGGGGTGGAAACATAGTGCTAATTCTATGGACTGATCCAGACTGCATTGGAATGGGATGAAGCTCTGGAATACCTGCAATACATTGATAATAACATCATGTGGGGCTATACAGTAGCTGAAGTTTTAGAGAAAGGGAAGAAAATAGTTCTAATTATTCCAAAAGCTGATTTTGCCATAAAACATAGTGAGGTCAAGGGACTTGCATGGGAGATTGAATTTTTAGGAGTAAAATGGCAAGATGGATGTTGTCAGATGCCAATGGATGTGATGAACAAAACAGCAGCAATGTCTCCACCAACTAACGAGCTTTCTTAGGTAATGTGGGTTTTTGGAGAACACACGTATTCCAGATTGCAGTCTAATTGTAAGTCTTCTTTGTCAAATGACCTGGAAGAAGAATGATTTCAAATGAGGCCTTGAGCAACAACAAGGTTTTGAGCAAATTAAATGGAACCTAGTTCATGCAACAGCCCCCAGGCCCGTCTGGGTAGGGTAAGATGTAAAAATATGCTTTATACTGCAGCCAGGGCAAATGGCCCTACAGGCAGTGCCTGGCAGAAAGCACCAGGGGAGACTCTGGTCCTCTCTTTGGAACTGGGGACACAGAGTATCTGAGGCCTCCTATACTCCAGCTGAAAGAGATACTGGAGTCTAATCAAGGGACTTGAGCTGCTTTGGAAGGGATTGGTGCTGAAGCACAGCTCCTCCAGCTCCCCAGCGACTGCCAGTGCTAGGCTGGATGTTCAAATGGAGGGTCTTCTACACATCATGCAGCTGGTGCTACATGAAATAAGTGGGTTGCTGTGACCTCAAACAGGAAGTCCCGGTTGCCCAAGAATCTTAGAAATTATCATGGACTATCTAGAACACAGAGATTTCAGAATATCACCATGGGAGGAGATAACACGTGCCAACGGGGCCTCATTGTATAATAAACTACCAGAAAATGAGATGCAATATACCTAGTTTATCGATGCGTCCTGCTGTGTTATAGGAAATCATCAGATGGAAGAGGATCATGCCCAATACATAAACTTGTGGAAGCTGGATGGAAGGGGCTGATCACTGCTCAGGGACTGGCATTTGATTGCAGTCTTTTAACTATACTTATCCCACAGGTTTTACCTTTTTCTGATTTTTCTCACCCATCCCATGGAGTGGTTGACGAGGCAGAAGTGAGTGAGCAACTTTGTGGTACTTAGTTGCTATCTGGGATTAAACTATGATACTTCTACATTCTAATGTATTCAATTCTGGGAGTAGGGTTTGTAGATTTTTTTTTTTTATTTCTGCTTGTATTGCAAGGGCAAAAGTATTGGAATGGAAAACAGTGGCCAGAAGTATTTTTTTCCTCATAAGTTTAGAATATAATAGGAGTCATAAGATTTTTATAATGTTTTGATGTAGATGGAACTGGCACTTTCAGCAAGGATGTTGTGTAGGTGGTCGATCAGACTTACTGTGGAACATGGCAGTTATCACAACTTCTGCTTCAATAAGTTTAAATGTAATATTAATTATAATCAAGACATCTTTTTTATTTTAGGAGGCTGAATATGGTGGGCATGATCAGATTGATTTGTATGATGATGTAATTTCTCCATCTGCAAATAATGGAGATGCTCCAGAGGATCGTGATTACATGGATTCTCTTCCACCATCTGTTGGGGATGATGTAGGTAAAGGAGCTGCACCAAATGTTGTCTATACGTATACTGGAAAGAGAATTGCCTTGTACATTGGAAATCTCACTTGGGTAAGTATCTTAACTGCTGTTTAGTTGTAGACATGAATTTTTATTATAAACCTAATTATTTGTAATTTTTTTTTTGCTTTAAAATGTTTTATATGAAGTATTATGTTTTATATGAAGTATTATGAGTATCAAAAACCATTGATTTTGATAAAAATTGATTTTGTTTTTGTTGTTGGTTTGATTTTCTTTAATTTTTATTTGTGATTGTGGGGTCATTTTTCTTTTTACCTGAAATTTGGAGAGCCTGTCATGATGTCTTAAAAATCAAGGAAGTCTTCAGTAAATATAAACTTTAGAGTATCTGTCATGTTTTAAGTGTTATGAAAGAATATTTGTCCTACTATGTTCTTAAGGTTTTCAGAGAACCAAATGAAAGGAGAACAAGTTTAAACTATTAAATACTTCATACCTGTAAATACTTCAAGGTTACAAACAAAATTTTTAGTCAACTCTTGCTAAAGGTTTTAGTTTAAAAGGAGGTTGAAGGTTCTCTGGGATTTTCTTGAAATTACTTTTCACATTTTTCCAGGGCCTTTTCCATCGGCAGTGACTCTTTCAGCATAACTCTTTTCAGGTATTTGTCTTGAGGCTTATTTCTCCATCCAAGAAGAACAGGTTTATGATAACTCACTGAACTGCAGTTGCCCTTAGGACAATTACCTGTATAGAACTAAAGCATTTTAAAATTGCAGCTAAGCAAACAGTGCAAAAGCTGGTCAGTAGCTGAATTAAATGGAGCTTTTATCTGTTTACATGAAATCAAGTTCTTCAGGGCCCACATATGCAAAATTCTGTTTTAAAAGATAAATAAGCATATGAGTTTTCATTTCTGATAATTTCTTACTGTAGGTGGCTTTTTTATTAGTTATTACAGTATTTCAGGAGCTAATAGGTAAGTAAAGGACCTGACTCTTAAGTTGTCCCATTTTGAAGTACATGAATGGAATCAGTAAAACGTGCATGAATTAACTGAACTAATTGTTGAATTGTAAAATAAGAATGACTACTCCAAAAGTCAGAATATATTGACAACCTGAGTAAAGTATTCCTCTGGATCAATTTCACACACACACACTTAAAAATCCATGGAAAATTTAGTTGCCCTTTACCTGGTGTTTTAGATAAGCTCTCATACTTAAATATTAAAAATATTTTTCAGTGGACAACAGATGAAGACTTAACTGAAGCAGTTCATTCATTGGGGGTAAATGACATTTTGGAGATAAAATTTTTTGAAAATCGTGCTAATGGCCAGTCTAAAGGGTAAGAACTTGTAATTTGTTTTTTCTATATGTGGACTGAAGTTTGGGAGGGGAAGGAATTCTCAGTTTTCATAATTGTCAGTGTTTGAACTGCTTATCTTAGCTGATTGATCCAGAAATTATTTGGCATATAATTTAATACTAATGACTTTAATTTCAGGTATAAGTTTTTGTGATGGTATTGTGTGTCTCATTATTTTGTGAGTTAAATCTTTCTGGTTATTTTCATTTGACACTATTCCTAGATTTTTAATTGGTGTGGTGGTGATGCTTGTTTTTCTTCAGTGTAAATGCTGTTCCCCCACCCTTCGTTATTAAATCTTTCTTTACATCTTTATTGTCCATTAGCTGTTTAAAGTAAGTGCCTGAGCCCATTTTTCAATGACAACCTAAATTTCACTGCGTGAATGTGGCAGAAAGTCTCTTTAGCAGCAACGAGCATACAGTGGTCATATGAATTCATTATGTAGTCTGTTGATACTTCACCAAAAAGCTGCCTTGTTGTGATAAATTTTGATGCGTCTTGTACTTGCTCTTTTGTTTCCTTCTTTTGTGTCATCCTAGGATAAGTTACTTTATCTGTTCTGAAAACTGGACTAAAACCTGTGAGACATTTTCTGTGTCTAACTTGTCAAGTATCCTTTTGCATACTGTGTGTAATCTTTTTCATGAGGTGTCAGGATGTCAGAAAATGAACAAATTGTGTAACTTTTTTTGTTTCCTCTCAGGTTTGCCCTTGTGGGTGTGGGATCGGAAGCATCCTCCAAAAAGTTGATGGATTTGTTGCCTAAAAGAGAATTGCATGGGCAGAATCCAGTTGTAACTCCGTGTAATAAACAGTTTCTGAGTCAATTTGAAATGCAGTCAAGGAAAAGTAAGCTTTACTTAAGTGCTGTCTTGGAAAAGCAGAAAAAGTAGAGTGGCAGGTTTTTAGTGCAGTGTCTTACAATTTCTACACAGTTTAAAATAGCCATAAAGTACTTAGAGTCCAGATGAATGAAGTTATCTTTGTTTAATTAAACCACTTCATACACTGAAGAGTTGCTGCGTTCTGAAAGAAGGTTGCAGCTTCATGCAGTTCTTGTCTTAACACACTGGAGATGCTTTCTCAATTTCTTTTGGATGTAATTTAAAAAAAAAAAAAGCACAAGAGCATTTAGAAATTTAACATTTGTAAACAGACTGGACTAAATTCTAATGTGTGAATGGTCTGTATTTACGATAGAATGGGGAAGAGAAGGTTCCATGTTGTAGCCATTTGTGAGGTTCCATTTTAGCACATCTTTTATTTCCCAGTGTGGCCTTAGACTTCATTGAATGAAGGACTGTCAGTCTCTCCAGATCCTCTCCTTTAGTATAGGGCATAATATTTTAGCAAAGAATGTTTTCCTCCCCAAATGCATTGGGTTTGGGTAAGGGGAGCAAGTTGGTGCTCGTAAGGTCATGCTTTAGCACTGCATAAAACTTCAGATCAAGTGTTGAAGTAATTTAACCTGTTTTCATCTATGTAATGACACTTTTGCTTTTCCATTGCAGCCACACAGTCTGGCCAGATGTCTGGGGAAGGTAAAGCTGGTCCCCCAGGAGGAAGCTCACGAGCAGCATTTCCACCTAGTAATAGAGGTCGGGGCCGTTTTCCAGGTGCCATTCCAGGTGGAGACAGATTCCCTGGACCGGCAGGGCCAGGAGGGCCACCACCACCTTTCCCAGGTAAAATTATGCATATATGGAGTTCCAATCTTGTGTTTCAATGTGGCATACTTACTTGGGAAATTATAAAGATCAAGGCAATTCAGTAAACAATCAGTGTTCACAGCTAGACTGTAGGATTTGACTGTTCCTTTGCGGATATTCTACAGGGAGTTGTACCTAAGTAAATTTGGTAGCAAGACAAGAGCTTTTTTAGATACATTCTTTATACTATGTCAATATACATATTTAAGTATGAAAAAATAAAAATAGATCATGTTAGCAGGTAAATTTGGCTTTAGTGTAGTGTAGTTGAGATTTTCTGATTTGCTATATGTGCTGAGAATGCCTGTGTTGCAGTATAAAGTAACTAATTTCCTTGTTGTACGAGTTTGCATGTAATGAGAAATTCAGCTTTGATTCATGCCCACTGACAGGTCAGTTAGTAGGCACTTTAAAACAGCAGAAATTTGAAGAGGAGTTCTTCGTGTTTAGTTAGGTATCTGATATAGAAAAAAATCTATTAAACAGTTAGGTTTGCACTGCAATGAAGTTCTTTTTAGAGCTGACATATTTTTTAGTAAATGTCATTCAGTAATAGATTGTCTACCAACAGTCCAAGGGATGTAGTCAAATTGGTAAAACAGTACTGAGAATCTAAAAGAAGGTTTCAATACAGCATCTACATTACTTTCTCTAATACAGCTTCTCCCATATTTTTAATATGTATTTTATCTTAAGCCCCTATGAAAAACTAGCTGCAGTAAGATGCAATGTTTTCTGGCTTTTGTAATCTTCTTGTGGGTTTTGGAAACAACAGCAGGTGATTAAGTGATTTGAGGAGGGCAGTTGTCAATGTTAAAGATAATGTTGTTCTTTTTAGATATCTCTAGATATCTAGTATCAATAGATACAGATAAGTTAAAAATTTTCTAGGCTGCTGGACCCAAAGCAGGAACACGCATGTCTTGTACATGTTGCACAGTGTTCAGGGAGGGAGGGTTGGTTTATTTTTTGTCATTGTTTTTAAGGATAAAAAAAAAGAAGAATTTTGAATAATTTTATTTCTTTGTATTTATTCACTCAATTTTATTTATTTGTTTTTTTGTTTTTTTGTTTGTTTGTTTTTGTTGTTTTTTTATTTTTATTTTAGCTGGACAAACTCCCCCACGTCCACCCTTAGGTCCTCCTGGCCCACCAGGCCCACCAGGCCCTCCACCGCCTGGTCAGGTCCTCCCACCTCCATTAGCTGGACCTCCTAATCGTGGTGATCGTCCACCACCACCAGTTCTGTTTCCAGGACAGCCTTTTGGTCAGCCTCCACTTGGGCCACTTCCTCCAGGCCCTCCACCACCAGTTCCAGGCTATGGGCCACCACCAGGTCCACCACCACCTCAGCAGGGTCCACCTCCACCTCCGGGTCCATTTCCCCCTCGTCCGCCTGGCCCTCTTGGGCCACCCCTGACTCTTGCTCCTCCTCCACATCTCCCTGGGCCACCGCCAGGTGCTCCACCACCAGCACCACATGTGAATCCAGCTTTCTTCCCCCCACCTGCCAATAGTGGCATACCCACTTCAGACAGCCGTGGCCCACCTCCGACAGATCCATATGGCCGACCTCCACCATATGACAGAGGTGACTATGGGCCACCTGGAAGGTGAGTTCTTTTAGTCTAATGTGTTTGGGTAGCAGATTTTACTCCTCTTGTTGGAAGCGTTTGATTTTTCCCTTTTAATGAAAATGTTAGGAACAATTAGAAGTAGGGCCAGAAGGGATCCCTCCAAACTTGTCGTTTGCCCCTCTTAACTTCTCCAAGGGAATAAATCTGAGGAACATGTTTGCTGCAGGAAGAAAATCCTGAAATGCAACACCAGTAATCTCACTTCCCTTTTCAGCTCTGAACTGTTTGTCTTTTCTGTATTTGGCAGTGTCATCATTTCATGTGTTCTACATGTAAACTTATATATCACTTCTTATGCAGCAGCTTCTGGTTGTGCTTCTGTCTTAACTTGAAATTCTGACTTTTATCTGTATCATCGTGCTTTGCAGGCTGCCTTTTAAGAATGCTCTGGAGTTTTCTTTTTCAAATATGTGCATATGTTGAGGTCATACCAAGCTCATACCATATTCATCTTTCAGCAGCATTGCTTGTCCCTTTTTTCTTCAGGATTTAATTAAAACTTACTATTTGTCTTAAAAGCCAGATGTGAATTTACTGCAAGACTTTTACGTTCCTTTCCTATCAAGATGTTTCTGCTCATTTGGTGCAATCTTGCTGTGTTTGTAGCAGTGGCTTTTCCTGTGGTTAATCCTCTCTGCGACAGAGTTCTTAAGTCCCTGACTTGACTTGTCAAGTTTTTCACATCTTGTTTGAAACATCTTTTTCATCTGTGATTTCAAGCATCCCTGTCTTGCTACTGTTTCTTGATTTTCACCATACTTGTATTTGTCAAAAATTTTGGCATAAATTGTAAGAGAGACGGTTTTACATAGTTAGATTTGTATTTTTTCAGTAGTAATTGTACTGCTAGCATAAGACGCACTTTCCTGGCTTAAAATGTTTCCTGCAAAGATGCTGTGCTTTGGTTCTTTTTTTACCACAAAGTTTAATGCCCCCCAAGCATTTGTACATGTGATGTTCATACAAAAATAACTATAGAAATTCAAGCATTTGGCTTAATTGCCTGAAATATAAGACTAGAAGGTGTTGGGTGTTTTTTGATGGACAAAATCAAGGTTGTCTGCAGTTTATAGAATGTCTGGGGAGGGAAGGAGTGGGAATAGGACAGTATAACTTACTGTCCAGTATTTTCATTAATAATGTTGAAGCTATCATCCATAACTATTTAAATTGTCATTAATTATATATCATAGGCGTTTCACTGGAAATAACATGTCCATAAGAGAAAAATTACATATTCCATTCTATGGGAGGCACACGAAAAATAATACTCAAAACTCAGGGAGGTATGAATTTTTAGACATTTCCTCTTATGCTAAACTGGCTATAGGATCTTGTTCCACTTCTTGCAATTAAGAGGATAGCATTGCTTATTATTCTGCATTTTCTTTCTACCAGAAGAACTAACACTGTTCTAGAAATATCAAGCAGTGGGCCAGTTTGACAGTCTCAGCATTTTTCTCTTAATACATTTCTCCAAATTCTCTATGTGACACAGAGACTGCCTAATAGGACACTGCAAAACTTTTGGGAAAATTTAGGTTTACTTCTGTTACTTTGCAAACCCTCTATAGGTAGCTGATAATTGAAGTGTAATGAGTATGAGGATTCTGCTTTATTGCTTCCTCCTTACTGTGACTAGTAGGGAGATTAAATTGGAGTACCTTGAACATGACCAGAAATTAAAAAAAAAAACAAACAAAATTGCTGTAAAATGATGACATATCATTAAAAAAATTGAGTGTTTTAAAGATAACTTCATTTTCAAAAGTTACAGCATTCTGGTCTTAGTTAAGATCTGGGAAACAGGATCATATAGTTCTGATTCCAGTACTGTTATGAAAATTTTCTCTAATTTTGCTCAAAGCTGCATTGCCTATGTACATGAATTTCCACATCCATTCAGCTGGGAATATCTATTTATGTACCTTCAAGGAATTTATAAAAATTGTAAATATTTGTCAAGCACAATATTAAGTGCTGCTGAATGTTTGAAATAGATGGGATGAAAAAAAAAAGTCTGCTTATACAGCAATGTCTTAATTGCCTTTTTGGGATTTTTTTGTTTGGTTGGTTTGTTGGGATTTTCTGTTTGGTGTTTTTTTTTTAAGCTTTCAGGATTTTATACTGTAACGATGGTCCTTAACAAAAACCAAAACCAACCCCAGATCCTGCTTTCTTTTCTGTTTGTCACTGCTTAAAGTTGCAAACTTGGATTGTTGAAATTGCAATGATAGCTTCTGAGGTTTTCCTTAACCTTTTAAATACTAGTTTTATTGCTTGCAGAGAAATGGATGCTGCGAGGACACCTCTAAGTGAAGCAGAATTTGAAGAAATCATGAATAGAAATAGAGCGATCTCAAGCAGTGCCATTTCAAGAGCTGTATCAGATGCCAGTGCTGGTTAGTAAAACTCAATTAATGTGTTTGCTATTCTACCCATCTGAAAAGAATTTATAGTTGTTTTTTTTAAAGTAGGAATCTGAAAAGACCTTAAGCCACATTTTCCTGATAGGGTGCTGAATTTAGGTACAACTTATGACTGATTTTGTACTGTGCTTCAGTCAGTTTCTAGGAAAACTTTCGGAGTACTGATCTGGACAGTATTTTAATATTTGATGCTACAGTAAATTATCTAGATGGGTGTATAAGAGAAGATACTCAAAACAGTAATACTGTTACAGATAAAAATCTATGTTTTAATTTGCATAATTTTCTGATCCTGGTGTTACATCATTTTCAGGGGACTATGGAAGTGCTATAGAGACCTTGGTAACTGCAATTTCCTTAATCAAACAGTCCAAAGTATCTGCAGATGATCGCTGCAAAGTACTTATTAGCTCTCTTCAGGACTGCCTTCATGGAATTGAGTCCAAGTCTTATGGTTCTGGATCCAGGTAAAACTTTCCTCTTCCATCTGCTCTTACTTAAAAAAGAGAAGGTGTAGTACAGGACTAATTTAGACAGAAGAAACTAAGGCATGTAAGAAGTTAGTGATTTGCTGAGTTGCACAAGAAATATGTGAAGGAACCAAATAATAAGTCTTTCTTAAGCCTAGGAAAGCTGCCTTTTAATTAACCTTCTTTTCAAAATTGATCTGACTAGATTCAGTTTAACTCTTAGTTTTATTTAGTGGTTTTGGCTCACGTTTCCCATACGCAGAATAGCAGCCATGTTGTAGTGATCATTTGACATGTGGTGCATTTCTCCCAGCTTATTTCAGTCATCCTCCATTCTGAGTACGTGCTTCAACTTATCCTTGCTACATTAGAAAGTGGGTGCCCCTTACTACCTGTAACTGAGTTCTTAGCCACCACTGTTTGTACCAGGTATCTTTAATGCTATAAACAAAAATATAGATGCATCACAATGAACAGATCTTTCCCTCATATGTGTTTTGGGTCAAATTTATACTCATAAGTAGACTACAAAACTGGCATGGGGATGACAAGTGTTTTGAAGAAAAAATTAATGAAGTAATTTCTTTTAGAAGACGTGAGCGATCCAGAGAGAGGGACCACAGTAGGTCACGAGAAAAAAGTAGGCGCCACAAATCACGTAGTAGAGATCGTCATGATGACTATTACCGGGAAAGAAGCCGTGAGAGAGAGAGGCATCGTGATCGTGACAGGGATCGTGACAGAGAACGAGACAGAGAGAGAGAATATCGTCACCGTTAAAGAAGGTGAGCATTTCTCTCATGTTCTTCAACTTTACTGACTTACTAAAAGTAACCATTCTAGGTTTGAGATTATTTATACCATTCATGTCTGTATTTAAATGATCCTGCAGTATGTACTGAATCACTTTCTTCTTGCAGCACCTGACATGAACACAGGTAAGTAACAACAGGTAATTCACTGGTCTTGGGAGGGCGCGAGTATTTGTACAATTATCTTCTACATTCTGCATGCCACCTCTTGTTTTGGCTGATAATAGTGTTTCCAGTTTTTATGAAATGTGATTGAACCACTTCTTAAAAAGGCAGTAAGTCAGACTGTTCCCTTTGATCTTAAAAGATTATATTAATTTTATGGTTTTATTTCTTAATTGTATTTAAAAATACTAGTTTTGTATTTTAAAATATACTTGTGTAAGGTCTACAGCATTTAGCCCTCCATAGATTGTGTTTGGATTATTTCAATGTCCACACAGTTATTGTCCGTGCACAGGTACGGTGGTGATTTTGTGGGTTTTGGTATTTGTGGGTTTTGTTGTTTTGTTTTGTGTTGTTTTTGTTTTGTTGGTTTTTGGTTTTTTTTTTCCCTGATGAGTTTTAGTCAAATTCAGGAAGTATAACCAGATTTTTCTCTTTATTTTATGAAATGTGACCTGTCAGTATCTTCTGCCTTCTAGGTAAATCCAGGTATTAACCTTCAGTAAAATTTATTATCAGTTGTTGCCCACCACCCTGATTTTTCAGTCTGTCCCCCTTCTGGTAGTAAAGTCATTTTCTGAAGACTAGTAAACAAATATATGACACTAGTATTGATTCTTTTCTGGTTGTTCACTATCTAACACGCTATTTTGTTTCATGTATCTGAAGTCATCTATGCATCAAATGTCTAGACAGCTAGAGTAGCATGCTAAACAATAATTCTTTTCAATGTACTGTTTTAAAATACATAGAAATGTTTACATTATATCATGTAGCATTTTGAGGGTTGGGAATTAAAGCCACCCATAATTCCTTGTTTGACAACTGAAGAGAAACCAACCCTACCTAATAGTGACTCCCTAGTGGTCTTTTCCCTTTTTGAAAGAACTTCCACTACATCTGCACTGAAATTGAAGCTTGTAGACGTGCCTGTCTGCCCAGCTTCCATTTCTTACATTTAACCTCAGATTTAGTTTCCAGATTTGCATGTATTTTTTTATTCATGGAAGTTCATTTATAGATGTTACAGAGCAAAACTTATAGAAGTCAAATAAAATGTAGTATAGTTTTAAGTGAAAATACAGTTCTGTTTGTGTTAAATGTCAGTTTTTCAGTCAGGCTTTTTGTGTCACTGACACTCCTCTGGGAAAGAGCAAATTATGATAGCACATGCTCTAGTGTGTTGTGAATTAAGTGGGATGTTGTCTCAGGTTCTTATACCAGCAGGGGACACAAAAAGAAGTAACTGAGCTAGAGAAGGGGAGTCAAAGGCTTAAATAGGAAAGTAAAACATGGCAGCTGAAATAAAGTTGGCAGTGTATTTCTGTTAATGCCACTTTTTGCCATTAAAAATAGATTGAAAGAAATATTTCTGGAATTTAGTAAAAATATCAACTCTGGTTCTTAATTGTAAGAAAGAGAACATAAAAATACATATATAATGAAAGTAAATGTAATTTCTTTTGTTGAACTCGGTTTTTACCTTTTATAATAACTGCATATTTTTGATATTTGCAAATAGTTGTTACTAATAGAGGTAACCATTGAGCTGAGTAATGGATGCATTTCCAGAGTGATTTCCTTCTGGTGGAGATGAGCAAACCACACTAAAGATGGTTAATAGCCTGGATTGAAAGATAATTTTTTTAACCCCTGACATAGTTTTACTAATCTAGCTTTAATTTTTGTGTGTTTAGTGTTGTGCACATAGATACAGATTTACTGTGCCAGCTACAGATTTCCTACTCTCTTACCCCAAGAACATATATCAAACAGCATTAGGTTGCATTTTATAATTTCTGAAGCACAATTTACACTGAGGCTGTGATTTCAGTCTCAGTTCAGGTGGAATTTATATTTGCAAGATCCTTCCGCTTTGTTGTGTGCTGGGACTTCTCTTTTCTTTCAAAAGGGTGTCTTGGTAAGATTCCCTTGTGTGAAGAAAATAGGTCCTAAGAACTTGATTTAAATGGCAAATTTAGTATACTACATGTGAATGAAAGCGTTTGGTATTTTTTTAAGTTGTAAACATTGTGTCTTGTTGCTGTCTTAATGAAGAAGAGCTTTATTGTAGTTTTGTTTTTTATATATTGATACACACACACACATAAAAGAAATGTAGTTATCTCCTGGTTTGTATGTTTCATTTTCACTAAGATGTATGTTCCCATACATTTTTTGTTTCATTTTTTACATTGAATAATAGTCATAAACTGATTTAACACTCAGTCATTTAATAAATATCAACAGTGCTGAAACGAGTTATTCCCCATATTACTGTGTTTTGCCAGAAAACATGAAGTTGCCTCTGTGCCTACACCCTGTGAATGGCACCTATATTTCTCCTTATTGTGTACCTATAGTCATGACTGTGATACTGTACTGGCATTTTTTCCAAAGTGTTACACGTCTAGTTCAGAAGGATTCTAAGGGTCCATTGTGAAAACTTTTGTAAACAGTGAAATTCAGTTTGTACTGTATTATATTTGTAGAGATGGGTTAAATTGGAATAACTTACAAAATATGTTTATAACAGCAAAACTCTAAAAAGTTTAGTTGTACCATATCAGGTGTTTACACTTCTGTTTGTACACTTCACAAGTTAAAATTAAATGGTTGCAAGATTTCTGTGCCTTCACTTGAGTAAGATATCATGTACATTGACAGTCCATTCTCTTGAATTACTATACACTGAATGCTTCCTTGGAACATCTTGCCTTTGCTCATAGAAAGCCTGTAAATATAAAAGATAAGCATGGATTTAAGACAAATGTCTAACCTGTATTACTCAAAAAAACTGAGAACCTAATAGAATGACATTTAGAAGAATTAACAGCAAAATTAACGTGTACAAACAGAATAGTAATGTAACTTCATCAGCATGAATCCTGACTTATTAGGCAGAATTTTTTAACTGATAATCAATAATGTATTTCTAGCTGATACATTGTCCCAATCTTAATCTGTCTGAATTTCTATAACTGCTGAATGTTAAGCTTTTCATTTTCTGTTTTTGTTACTGGGTTGATTGATTATTTCCTATTTAAACTGGATTTGGATTGAATTGCAAAGACAAAACCACAACATTGTAACAGTTGATATGTATGTAGACTTTGTATTCCATATTCCATGTTTATTCTCTGATTTTTCTGCTCTCAAACCACTGTAAGCAAAATAATTTGAAGTCTGAGACTCATATTCTTCAAAAGCTGCTCTCAGATCACTCTGAAATTACTTTCAGCTTTCAAGTGATTCAATGGTTGGAATTTTTTGTGTCAGTAGGAGGGGAAATGGTACTGATGGCTTACATAGTATTCATTATATTTTGCTTTTCTAAGTTGGAACGGTCCTGTAACTGTGCTAATACCCACTTAAACATCAAGTGAGGTATGAAATTAGCCTTTTAAGAAACCTTGTAATGAATTAGCAAATGGCTATTTTTAATAGGCTATTTTAATAATAAGCTTCTAGTTAATAATAAGTAAATAATGTGGTAACATTGTTCAAGACCTGGGTATATACCTGTCTAGAATTATATCAGGTATTAGTCTTAAGCTATTATGAATATTGTTTACCTAATCTCTCTTTTTTTTTTTTTTTAAACTGTGTTTTATGTGGGGCTGGCACTATTCTTCTGTATTTAGCATTCACCAGATGCTTTGTGCGTCTGACTCATTATTTGAAATCCAGAATATCATGATAGAGGCAAGCAGTGCCACTGGTTTATGTGCTTCTTAAAGTCTGTTTTACCATTACTCTGGTGCTTTGCAGAAACATAGAGTTTGTCTATTAATGTTCAGAGATGAATCTGATTTTCCTGAGGGTGAAACAAGGATTTAAAAAATAAGCAGAATATCCTTTGCTACTTATTTTCAAATGCATAACTTTAATTACCTTTTTCCCATGAATATGTTTCTGTAATTTTATTGACTTCTGAGGTGTCCTTAGACACACTTGTATTTTTTTTTCCTCATTTCCTGGGCTTTTTTATTTGTGAATTCATTAGTTTTGACAAATTTGATCTGTATGAAAATTCCCCAAGAAACTTACAGGTGTATGAAACACAGAAGTGAAAATGTTGGTTTGATGCAATGTTCTTCAAAGAATGAACAAAATTCACTTTTTTACTTTTGCTCATTGTGGTTTGAGAACTAAGATTTCTTTTTACAAAAAAAAAGGAGACACGTGAGAGATCTTCATTTTTTTTTTCCTGTGGGAGCTCAGTCTACCTTTTTGTCTCTTCCTCGTATATTAATGTGAAGAATACTTTCCAGTAATTCATATCTTTTTAATTTGTAAACTCAAGATTGAATTTTCTGATCTCACCTCTCTGTTCATCAGTTAGTTTTGGTGAATAGACAGGCTGGGATAATAGAAGAAAGATACCTGACAAATTAAATTAGTTTAGGAGGATTTTCCCCCATGTAAAATTATTTATACAATCATGAAAATGTTGGTGTGTTGATCTTAAATTATAAACTAAGACTGAACAAAGACAGCAGGTAAGTACACTCATAATAGGAGGGGGGAACAGGCAGCAAATGTGAGAAGGTGTTAGTGCTGATGAAATAGTCTGTACGTGTATGCAAAACAGAACAGAACCACATGTGTATCTCTGCTGATCTCTGAAGCTGAAAGACAAATAGTTAAGCTTGAAATTCCTTCTTTCTCACTATGTTATAGCTAACGCATCAGAATATTTGGGGTATTTTGTGATATTCTGGAATGTAGGTTAAACTAAAAAGAAATTTTTGGCTTTTAAGCTGATACTTCCTGTGGGATTTTTGGTTTGTGTGTTTTTCTTCATGTATAGAATAAAATAAAGGAGAATTACATGAAGTAATTCATAGGAGCTTCTAGGATATAATAACAAATGTATATTGTGCATTTTACTGAAATGTGAACATGTGAGATTGAAATTCAATCTCTGAAAATGAACTACTAACAAAACTTGATGGGTATATGTATATACAGCTTTAAAATTGCTGTAGAATTTTCAAAATTTTAAAGGCTGTTTAAAGCTTTTATGTGAATATTTGGATAATTGGAATTAAAGGGAAAAATAGAGGTGCTATTGCAAGATGCTTTTGAGATGCATATATATATATATATATATAAGAAATCTATTGGGGTTTTGTTGTAAGAGTGTGTCTTTGTGGGGAAAAAAATGCTCAAGTTGCATCTTGCATAAATACGGAAATGTTTGATCACTCAAGTACTGAGATTTCATTCGTGAAATGTTCTGGCATAAACCCTGAACTTTTAAACCACAAAATTTCTATTCAACACCTAAGTCTGAAATTTGGATAGATTTGGTAAATTTTGGTAGAAATGCTGAGAAACTCATTGTTGTCTGGTGTTAAATTGTACAAGTCTAACACGTGCTTGGGACAGATAGCTTATGTATGAGTTTGAGGCAGATGGAAAGATGCCAAGAAATACTACTGACTAGAGATTTAATTTTTAAAAAGTTTTCTGTTGCTTCAATATTCTACTTGCTTGTAGAATACTGAAAAGGGGCTGAGCACACAGGTATAATCCATACAGATTTATTTCTTTTTGGAACCACAAGGGTTTCCAGTTTTGCCAAGATACAGTGGCAGAATACTTGGAACCAAAATGTACGCCACTTTGGATTTTAGTTGGCCATGTTTCTAAAAATGAAGGCTCAGTGTGGTTCTGACCATCTTAAGAGCCCTATACCAAAAAGCATTAATCCTAAATTCACATTATTGTGCATTCTTTAGAGTTCCTGTAGTTCTTTAAGTACCTTTACAAATATAGCAAATTGTTCCCAGGAACTGAAGATGGTAGTATCATAAATCTATATAGGGCGCTTTGGATCTGTTAACTGTTGCTATAGACATAATTGAGATCCATAATTCTGGCTGCAGCAATTGTATGATGAGAGCAGCAAATTCTGATGTGCAGTCTCACAGCTGTCAGGTACTGGCTTTTCCCACTAGAAAACTGAGATTCTCTCCTGTCTGTTTTTGCTCACTTAGCTCACAACTTTAAAACAATATTTTTCTTGTGGAAGTAGCACTTTGTCAGTCACTTTGCTACTAATTAATTTCAAAAGTAACATAACTCCTATGGGAACATTGGCCTCTGGGGAAGGAGCTTCCTCAAAAGTAGTTACTTGTTGATGCATTCCAGATCTGGGAACAAAATCTGTGAATAAGAGAAGAAATTTCACTCACTGATTTGGATTAGTTCATATGCATACTGTAGTGTATAGGGTCTACTTGGTTATACTTTGGATTTTTTTTAAGTTCTTGTTGACAGTCATTTTGAGGAAATGAAGAAGAAAAATTGCGTATTTAGTTTTCCCAGCTTTTAAATTTTTATACTACTTGAAGAATATTTGACAGCTGTGTACTGTTGCACGTTTGTGAAATTGCTTCTCTAAATGTCTTGGTTTTCAAATGAATAATTTAATGTGTTGGGTTTTAAAAATAATTTGATTGAAACTACTTTGAAATTATTGAATGTTGAAATTGTGAATTATTAATGAAATTAATGAAATTAAGATAGCTAATTGTTTTGTAATGGAATTCAACTGAAATCCAGTGTATGGAATTATACCATCCCAAGCATTTTGTGAACTCTTACAGTAATTAACTTTGAATTGTGTGGTTCCCTGATTTGCCAAAATAGATAAGAATAGGAAGTAGGGCTTGGGGGTTTTTCCAAGGGCAAGTAGGTGAGGAAACCTGCAAATCTACATTGTATTCACTGAAAAGTGGGTTCTTGTGCATAACTGCAAGTGTGTATTTTTTAGATGTGAACCCCATCCAGCTTGCCCCACTAGTCTTTTGACGTACTGGTGCCAGATTCTGTGTACTTTTAAATGTTACTGAGCTCTGAGCCATCCACTTCATTATACTATCAATTAATTATTTAAATGTCAAACCAGTTTAAAATTTATGTAAGTGGGCAGGTAAAAATGTAAAAATCTAATTGTGGTAAAATTACTTTAAATTCTTGTTCAGTTACTCTTGCAGAATGCATACTTTAGGAAGTGTTCTATATAAATTTTGCAGTCAGTCATAGAAGCAGTAGTTATTTTTTTTTTATCATCAGTACTTTAACTGTGAAGTTCATATTCTTTCAACTTGGTTGTACAGCAACATTAATCTTATTTTTAATTACTGTATTATAAAACAATGAGTACAAATGAATAGCTACTGCTTCTGGGTGTTTTATGTTAGTTAACGTCATGGTGAAGTAGATGCACGAGTTGTGTATGTATAGATAAGCCAACAATTTTCTGTGTGTTTTGGGGACTAGCAAAATCTACATCACAAATTTTGACACATTACAGCTGAAGGAAGAGGAACAGCGTGCAAGACAAGATACATTCTTCAAGGAAAGATGCTTGTCCAGCAGTTTGCTTCATGTGATTGAACTGAGCCTGTAAGGATTCATGGATAATATGAACAGGAATAGATCTGAATAAAGCAAATCTGCATACATGGTAACCAGTAGCTCTTTTACTTTTTTATGTTGCTTAACTGTTTTATTTGAGGGAAACCTGTGTGATTTAAACCTTATAGCTTTTGCAACTTTATTACTGGTTATATACATTTGGCAATTATAATGTGCAAGCAATTGAAAAAAGTCAAGTAAATGCTTGTTTTTTATAGTAGTTTGTTCATGTTAAACTGTTCATATAATGTCTGTACACAGCACCACTGATTACAGTAGATGTAGTGTTGTAATAAACTGTTTAATGGGGCTGATGTGTAAAGCTGTTCAAGTTATTTGATGTTTACACCTCAGGGAAAGTCATGTGTTCAGCAATATTTAAAGATAATGTTACAATGAAAACATTAATGCTGTCTTCAAAAACATCGCAATAGTTCTTGCATATGCCTCAACTTAATCTTGCATTCAGCGAGTTAAACGTACTAATGTTGCGCTCTCCCACTCAATTTTGATACAAAAATAGGTGGTTGCGGAAAACCTTTAATTCTGTTTTGCTTTTTAGCAGTGTTTACCTAGGTGGCTTGTGAATTTGCTAATTGACTTATAAAACTGTAAAAACTGCAGCTCTCTGTGGTCAGTTGTTCTGAGGAGAGATAGTCCCAGGTCTGTGATTTTTAGCACACTAAAAATTTTGTCTCTCAAACAACCTTGATCCTGATTGACACTACAGTTAATATAAACTGTTCATATGAACTTAAACTGCCCATAATAAGGGGTAAAAAGGTTAGGTTTAAAACATCCAAAATCCTGCAGTTGCTTACAGTTTTATAGTAATAGTGCTTGTGTGTCTTCCCTCTCCACCCCCAAGGCCGTAGCAGTCTGTACATAGTTGTATATTAGAAATGTGCCAGAAGATATAAGATGTTACCATTTTTATGACTCCATGGGTTTGGTATTTTTTTAATACTTTGGGATTTATTCACACATGCATATAAAAGAGAAGGTACATTTGTATGTCCTTGTTCACCAGTGGGCAATATTTAAATGTCTTAGCAAAAAATGGCACTGATTACATTTGTCAGATGAGGTTTTGTAAATTTACCTAAAAACAAATTAACGGAGCACTCAGTGAAACTAGGCGTCAAATTAAAGAATTTGTTTTAAATTTCATCAAGTGTGAAACACAAGAAAAGAGAAATTACATTAATGCTGCAAAAGCTTCATTCCCGTCAGCCTTGTGCAAAGGCTCACTTTTAGTCTGTTGTAAAGCGTTATGTAACAGACACGCTCCTGGAGTTGTCACTCGTTTAAATAGCTGCACTTAATGTTTTAAGTTAAGTTTCAAGACCTCAGATGGCTTTAAGAGGCAACTCTTAGAAGTCTCTTGATTTCTTTTTTGCCAATTTTGAAGATTTTACAGCTGACTTAAAATGTTACCCTGTTCAGGAAAGCATTTAAATCTGTTTGGTTTTCCAGAGCCTATAAAACATGTGTTTACATTTCATAGATTTCAAGGAATGTAAACATATGCTTTAAGTCTTGTATTTGCATACATAAGTGATTTTTATGCTTTGCTGAGTTGGGACCGGTAGCTTATGCAACTGCAAAAGTTTTGCATAAGCCTGAAATGCTCTAATATTTTTGGCACCTATTCACCCAGGTTTCCTGCAGCCAGGTTGATGGTGTTGGACTTGGCTACAGCTTCAGATTTACCCCTTTTTCTTTTTTCCTTAAATTGTGTACCTCAGTTCCTCAAGCATGGGATCACTGGTGTTTATTGAACTATTTGCTACTGAGAAGATATTTCACATGTTTGTTTAATCCTGTTTGAAAATGAAACTGCCTTTAAAAATTTTGTAAACCTGAAAGTTGTATCAAGCAAGTCATGAATCACTTCCTGCTTTTTTTGTGAATAGGTATTGGTTACAAACAGTACTGTTGTAACTTTTTTTTCTTTACTTAAAAACATTGTTTACTACTGTGTGTAATAAGTTTAAGGAAGAAATTACCTGCCTGTAGCAGTTAAATGGGGAATATCTAATACTGGAAAAGCAGCAGGTAAGTAATATTCCATTGCGTAGATATATTAAATTTTAAAATAAAAAAAACGTAACGTTACAAGCATTTCATGTAGGAACTCATATTTTAGTCCACATTGAAACAGATTTGAGACTGTTGCTCTTTTTACATAGAGTGTAATTTCTCATTCACGTATTTCCATTGCTGGCAATGGAAATAGCAGGGAGAGAATAGCAGGGGGTGAATAACGTAAGTTAAACTGAATGACCATTGTGACCTGAGAGATGAGATCCCTGTATGAAGCCCATTATTTCTGCCTGTTCTCCAAATTCTTAGTTTTAACTGGTAAATGTACTGTGTTGCAATTTAGATAATACTCTCTTGTTGTTGTGAGCTTCTTTGTTAGATTTTTTTATAAAACAAAAAATGTACAGAAAAAAATCCAAAGACCCTGATAGACACCAAAAAGGAATATGCCTAATGTACGTCATGTATAACTGGATCTGTAGAAGAATTTTTACCAAGTCTTGGTTTACTAAAGGTTCCTGCAATTTCCTGTGCACGTGTAGGAAATGGTAGTTTGGAAACTTGCTGATTGGTGGTGATGCCATGATGGCTACTGCTGTTTAATATTCATTCAGTTGTATTTCATTTCCTTTTGTTGATGAAAGGATGAAATAATCTGTGAGGAAATACTTTTTTTTTTTTTTTCAAATAATGAGTTTATAGGTAACATTGAAAATATTATCTTAAGGCTATGTCCTTTATCTTGAAAGACAAAACTAACAAGTAGTGACTTAGGGGTGGTGGTGCTTTACCAACAGAACTTGTTTTAGTGGTTTGTTTTTTAGAAGTAGAGGGTGTTTTTTTAAAAAGTAAATTTTTTACAGGACTATACGTTTTGACAAGTCAAAGTACTTAAGAAGAAAAAAATAGCATTTTGGAAACTGTATAGTCTTTTTTTTTCCCTCATTCCCTTTTTGCTTTCTGTGCCAATAATTTTTGTTCTGATAACATTTTGAAAAATGTTTGTCAGAACTTCAAATTTTTATTTACAGTATGGCTTATAAGCTTGGATAGCTGTTGTTTTTTGTGTTAAACAAGATATTTTTATTAAATTTAGACATCAGCTTTTTTCTTTATGAACTGAGTATGTTCTGGTTCGGTTCCTTTGAAATTGGTGAGGCTTAGTTTTTCTAACTGTATTTTTTTACCTGATTGTTTAGTTGCATACCTAAACCCTTGTAAATGTTTTTTTTCCTAGTTGTATGTGGATAATTGGAGATTTAAATGTTGTATATATATACTTGTCATCTGTGTTTCTAGTAAAATACATGGCATTCTTTGTAGAAATACTTAATTCCTGATTTTCTTTCCTTACCCACTTGCTCTTTATGTACAGGTTAAACAGACACTGCTCCCATTTTTACTTACAGAATTTTATACGTAGCCTGTTAAAATTGTCTTTGGTTCTTGTGTGAACTGAGATACAGCCTTAAATTTCCTAACACAGTGCTCATTAAGATAAAGTCAGTCACATAGATTTAAATTTAAAAGGTATGTGTTTAGGACTGGTATTCTTCAGAGATCTGATACACTAAATTGCTTCTTCATTGAAATATAAACCCTTCAAGATTTTAGAGAAGGAAAGTGGAGGTTACTGTCCATTTAAAAAAATTAATTTATTTGAATTCTTTCCAAAATAACAGTTGTAACATAGAAAAGAAGCAATGTGGATTCAGTTGAGATTCAAATTATTTTGGTAATTCACTGCACAGGTCTTGAACATAATGGTTGCAGCATGCTGATGAATCATGATGTTTATGCAGAAACACTGTCTCTTGCAATTATGATACCTTGCAATTATTACTTCAGATTGGCTTGGGGTAGATGGGGGTGTTGAGGTGGGGGTTTTTTGAATTTGTAGTTGCTTCACCTTCCTTCCCTTTCCTCCCCATATCCCATTACGGTCTGACATCCCATGTATTTTTACATTTCCATTTAGTTTTAGAGGATAAATTTACTAAGGAGCAGTTTGGGGTATAGAAGTTCATCAAATTGATGTTCTTGTGGGATTTGTTTTCCCCCTTGTTGGACAAAATATGATAAAGCTCCTTATTCCATTTGTATATGATATGTTTGTTAATTCTTGAACCCTTTCTGTAGCCCCAGTGATTGCAGTGGGTTCTGGGATGATGCCTATGCTTGTGCTTAAATCTTCTAAATACATCAATTTTACAGAAGTCTCTTGAAAATAGTAAGCAGTATACCTTTGATCCTGATAGAATGGAGCATTTAAGTTGTAAAAATTCTCATCTGTTCACACCATGTAATGTGATTTTTACATTATTTCAGAAATAACACTTCAGAGTATATTCAACTAAGAGACTTCAGCCTCACCCTCTTGTACACAGTATTTTGTAATAGAAAATATTTTAAACTGTGCATATTATTATCACATTATGGAACAGACATTCCTTTGATCTTCAGATGTAAGAAAATGAGGAATGTGTGTGCTTTTATAAATATAAGTGGTTGCAAATTCATATTCCTTACTACTGCAGTTGTCCTTTTTTAAAATAATAATGAAAGGAAAAAAAAAAAGCCAAGTGTTTTAAAGGTGAAATACATTCCTATTTGGTAAACTGTAACATTTTTATGATGATTACCAGCACTGCTGACTTTCTAAACAAAAGGCTGTATTGTCTTCCTGTACCATTCCATTTTCTGGTTCCCGCTTTGCACAAGGATATGTGAGTAAAATATTCAAGAAATGGTTTGAAATACAGGAGTGGGGCTGTACAAGTTGGAATGCAGACTTGAAATGCAAAATGTAAGGAAATGGATGCCTGTCAGAATGCCTGACTCCAAAGGATTTCATATACATAGTAAACAGTTCCCTGATGCTAGCAGGCCAAAGAGTCTGTTGAATACTGGAGTTTTTGGAGACCTATATTTCTCCACAAGGTAAGATGGTATCCAAGCAAATGTGGATTTCAATACATTTTCAGCAGAGGTACTTAAATAATCTGTAAGTTTAGAGATAATTTCATTTTTTTAGATGTTACATTTGAAATATTGCACAACTTTTAGCTTTCATAGGTTTTTTTTCCAGCCTTTAGGAGACTGTTAAGCAATTTGCTGTCCAACTTTTGTGTTGGTCCTAAACTGCAATAGTAGTTTACCTTGTATTGAAGAAATAAAGACCATTTTTATATTAAAAAATACTTTCGTCTGTCTTCATTTCAGCTTGTATAATTTCTTTGCAATTCTCATTATTGCCAGGCTTTTCAAATTTTTGGACATTAAAACTTGGAGGGTGGATATTCTAAGATAGTTACATCTAGATTCTGTGCTGTAATTGCTTCTGCATCTAGAAATAGTTTATACTAGCTCTTGTCCTTATCTGGACTTTTTGCAGCATTTAAGACCAGTGAGAAGTACAGACTCTTTTTTTTAAGCTAACCTTATTTTTCTGTAAAATACAGTGACCCAATGAAGTGTGTTAACTAAAGGGAATAAAATAAGTATGTGCATAAAACAATTTTAGTCTCTTAAAATTACATTTTCAGACTCAAACAGTGTAGTAGTGTTTGGAGCTGTGGGCTTTCTCTATAGGAGGCATTAAACCACTGATGATAGAGATTTTTAATCTGGTTTCTTGCTTTGATTAAATCTGGCAAATGTTAATCATTGCAAAGCATGTGAATGTTAAACACAGTGGCTGTAAAACAGCTGTATGGCAGGTTGAACTGCTGTCAGGTCACTTCATGCAAAACATTGGTTTGCTAGCAGTGACAGTATCCATTTTCTGATTATTTAAAACTACTTTTGATACTGGGGTTACATGGGCAAATGTTTCAACTGCTAAAGCAGAACATTGTGTTACATAGAACGCATCACTGTGTTACATACACAAAGCCACAATTGCCATACTGTGCCATTCTAGTGGTGAACTGCCATAATTCATAATACTTGTCAAAGGTCATTCACTGGCACAAAACGAGCTATATCCATTGTAGCAGCTTAGATTACTGGTATCATTTTCTGTGCTGTTGGCTCCAGTTTTGGCCTGTGATGAGCCTCTGCCATTTGACAGTGGTAAGATTATTTAAGAACGCTGCTGTTCATTTGGGAAAAAGTTATAGCTTCAAAAATAAGTCTGAAATTTAATCTGATTGGCTTGGTAAAACAAAACATGACTGTATTTAAACCCAATGGGTAACTGTACAGGTCTCTGTAGAGAAAACAAAATATTCTTGAGAAAATTAACCTGAATTTCTTTGGGTAGTGCTCCAAACCTGCAATAATGGAAAGAGCATTCACTTCCTCTGAAGGGCTCAGACATTGTTTGTCGAAATAGCAAGCAATAGGATAGCAAAGCCAACTTGGCCACTGAGTTTGCTGTACTGTGTCAGAATTCACCATAACAATCTGTGTTTTTAACAAGATTTGTGTGTTGTAGCCTGGTTTCATTTACCACGTGAAAATTCAGAGAGGTAGAAATGGTGTTGGGCTGTGGCTGGTGGGGTTCAGGGGACTTCAGGCTTCCTTCTGGGTTAAGATTCTTAACCAGGGGGATATCATTGCAAACTCTTGATTTTGAAAGTATCTTCCTGCAATTTTCCTCCAGGTTAGGGTGTTCAGCAGTTCCAATTGCTGAAATGTGAGACAAGTGTGTAAAGCATCCTGTCCCCCAAAACATGGGATGTGTACTCTTAAGATAAACACAGTGAGGATTCAGTAGTACATGGATGAATTCGTTGTGGAGGTGTTCAAGCATAGGTCAACTAACCAGGACACAAGACCATCAAGGTATGCTTTGAAATGGTATTGGAGAATGGGGAAAGTAATATAACAAGTATGGGGTTTGTTTTCTTCCATGAGAGTTCCCTAGGGAAAATACTATCCTTTGAGTTGCAGACATGGAAATAATTTGATATTGCTTACTAGGAAAATGTTCTTGCTCAATTCTGCTTGTAAGAACCTTGCCTGCAACCTTGTTCAGGGTCGTCTTCATAACTGCTGCAGATTGAAAGACCCAGAGGCCTAGGTGAGCTGGAGGGAGAGATCCTAGTGGAATCCAGGCTTCAGATTTTTGTCCTTGTTTGTTTCTCTCTGACTGGAGAGTCTCCAGTGCTTAACAATATGGAAGCTGGTGCAGAAGCTTCCACTCCGCCACCTCAGCAAAGAGACCTAACTCTTCCCATCTATCATGTCCTCTGATGTTTGGAAACAATATTAAAATGCCAAAATCACACCGGGATAAACCTGTTCTGAACATGGAGTAGCCTGACTGTGTGTGGCCCTTATTATTGACTTAGTTTTTTGGGAGGAGAGGGAGGTGGAAGGCATTTGTGAGGTTTGGCAGGGGAGCCAAAACTAGTCAGTTCTGTGAGCCTTCTGCTCTTACACTAACTACAATTGAAGGGAGATTACTGGACTGTAGGAATTTTTTTCTGTGAGGAAGCTGGAGTTCCTGTGCATATCTGCTGTGGGTTTTGCATGCCAGGCAATGGGATAGCTGAGTTTTCCAGATGTTTTTACAGGAGAAGAAGTCTTCCCTTTTGCTGCTACACCTTTTCTGCACCAGGCTCACTGAATGCACTACTGCAGTTTCTTCTCTCGCAAAGCTGGCATTTTGCTTTATTTGCTGTCAATACAGGAGGTACTGATCAGAGAGAGGCTTTAGTTTTAAAATTTGTCTCTGTGAAAGTGAGACATCTTGATCACATTGAAGGAAGCAGGCACTGAGTAAGGAGTTGGAAGTGTCTTTTTTAACCCTTGTTTGGGCTGGAAAGAGATGCTCAGGTTTGGATTGTTAGTTTTGTTCTCTGCCTTTTAATTTTCCCGTGATTCATTGTTCAGACAGTTTCATAATACTTCAAGTTGTCCAGGAAAAATGGTAAGCTGCAAAAAAGAGGAGCAGAAGAAAGCAAATCAAATGTCCAAATAAGAAGAGCAAAGTCTATGAAGCTACAAAAAGTAAGTTTGTCCAATGCAGACAGTAAAGGAAGACAGAGGTATGTGTGTAGTTCATGATCACAAAGATGCATTTTTTACAAACATTATTACATGAAGTTCAGGTGCAGGCACCTGAGTGTCTGCACCCTTAAATTTTGGACTATAACAAATCGTGACACACAGGGTGAGGAAAAACTGGTTTAATAATTTTGGGATCAGGACCTCTGTTTTGCATTGGGATTTAGCTGAGTCCTGTGGAAGGCCTGCAAGTACCATGATTCTGGATATAAAGTAGTCAATTGAGAAAGGAATTTTGCCAAGTTAGCATTTTTCTAAAGATAACCTCCTGGTCAGCATAGCATATTTGTTAAAAGAATATAGTCTGCACACTCAACACCTCTGATAATGGGTTTAGCATATCCTAAAGTACTTAAAGCATGGCACTACTTTGCATGTATCTTCACTAACAGGGTTTACTCCAGACATAGTGAAGAATTTATGACTTGATGCTCATTCATGTTCTGAGTATAGGTAAGGCTGCAGCTACTCAGGAGATTTTGTTACACAGTAGATGAACACAGATGAACTGGAACTGTATAAGGAGGAAAACTTATCAATCACATTGAATTTTTAGCTGTTTTATCTCTTGGAAGATAGAAAAGCAAGTGAATGGCTTCTGTAAAAAGTAAGTAAATGGCTGGGAATGGGGAGATGATAAGTCTACTCTGTGTCCAGGAAAAGTAACTTGCTGAAAGGTGTATAAAAAAGAGACCACATAGAGACCAAAGTGAGAGTGAAGTGGAAATATATATCCTTTCTTAGTCTGGAGAAGAAAGGAGGACTTTGTGAAAGGTGCAGAAGCAGTGCTGTGGAGTGACAGCTGGGGAAAGCAGCACATTTGTCAAAGATGTTGCGAGCTTGAGAGATGCAGTGCTGTCCTTGGGATGAGGGAGGGAGAAGGGCTGGTGCAGTTAAGCTCTTCTGCTGGACAGATTTTTGAGTGCGAAGTGAATCAGAGAAGTGACATAGTGTAACATAATGTAATATTACAGAAAACAGATGTGGTTCAGCTCACACTTCTTAGGCTGAAACATAAAGAATATGGTGTTCAAGGAACTGATCAAAAATTTGCTAGTTTTTTTTCTCCTTTCTTTCTGTTCCTGGAGAGATGGTGAAAAACAAATGCAGCCCAGTAGAAAGAGCTTTTTGCTGTAGATAGAATATTGCTATTCCTTTCAATTAATTCTGTCTGAATTTGCAGAAAATTTTTAGCGCTTTGCTTCCCATCGGTCTGCTGGAAGTCTTGTAAATCCTGTACCCGTGGTGTAAATTAAATTAAAAAGCAAAATTAATTTCTTCTCAAACAAGGCTCCTCAGCTTTACATAAAGGACCCAATGTAAACAGATGGTTTTAAAAATTATATATTGCTGAACATTTTTTTCCAAAACTACATGAATCTAATTAGCATTGGCAGTCATTAAGTGGATTTTTTCTTTTAACCTGCATCTTAGTGGTGAAGATAGGCCCCTAGCTGTCCTGTAAGGGTACATTCAAAATGGTGTAGATGGGATCAAAGAGTGTAAAAGGGCTCTTTCTGCCATCTAATGTCATCAAAAAACCTCTGCTCCTCTTCACTTAATCTCATTAATTGTGTCTGCATTGTCAGTAGAACTAGGTGTGATAATACTCAACTGTCCTAATTTTAAGATAGCAGACACTTCTTAATCCCCTTTTCCACAAAATAAACAGGCTGTATTTTCCTTGCCTTGCCACCTCATGAAAAAGTCCCTGTTTATTGTCTGAATGCCTTTTGAGTGCACTGCTCTTAAACTCCTGTGTTTGTTTCTGTATATGAGACCCTGGTACTGAAATACTTTAAGGCTTAGAAACCTTTCTTTGATGCTAAAGACATTGTAAAGAGATACGTCCACACAAGTAGATAAAATGTTGCCTGTAGTGGAATGTATCTCTAAACCCCTCTGAAGATGGGTGGGTCCCCAGTGGAACAGGTAGCATTTGCCTCTGAAGGAGCAGTGACTCTATGGAGTTACTGCATTTCAGAATGCTTACTCTTTTACTTATAATTGATTTCTGAGGCTTGCTGGTATCCCATTTCACTGTTAGCCATTTACTTCTTTTGACAGACAGCTACCCTTGCCACCTTTCACAATCTGCAGACTGTGCTTCTCTTAAAAGATACATGGCTCTGCTAGGATGTGTTACAGCTCCGCACTGGTGGGAGGGGGATAGAAAGAGACCA